TATAAATTTATGTTTTCTCATTATGGGTAGGTCTAAGATATATCCTGTATTTATATATTGTGTATGCTCAAATAAATAAAGTTCTATATTGTCAAAAGGAAAAGTTAGATATTACATAATATAAATGGATAATTGATTCACTTCCTATTCATACTTTTAGAATTGTTTGCCAATACAAGTAATTAAGAATGTCAAATACAAAATATAGAGACTACTATAGGTAACTGACAAAATATCTTTATTATCTAATTTAACATGATTGAGTTCTGCCTAAAGACTGCCAGGTTCATATATATAAATATAATCAACTACATCAAGCAATCTGAAGTTTTTTTAGGATGTGACGTAAGTTGTTATTTGTGAAAAGACTGTGGAGCATCACCGAGAATATTAGTTCTCCATGTACAGGGACCTGAGAATAGAGTTCTGTCTTTGTTACATTTCTTCAGAATAATCATGTAGAAGCAATATTCCCATCTTAACTGGTGATGTTCATAGCTACTTAAAGCCCATATCCTTCCAGAATTTCTAAACATTATAAAATTCTACTAAAGATAATTTTTCTTTCCCAGCAACTTCTTCAAGGCAAGTTTGACATCTTTGTTTCTCAAACTGTATATTAGTGGATTAAGCATGGGCACAACAACGGTGTAAAACACAGAAGATACTTTCCCTTGGTCTATGGAGCTGGCTGACGAAGGCTGGAGGTACATGAATGCTGTTGAACCATAGAAGACAGCAACAGCAGAGATATGAGAGCTGCAGGTACTGAAGGCTTTGGACCTGCCTTTAGTGGAGCAAATGGGGAGGATGCTGACAATGATGAAGATGTAAGAGCTAAGGATAATCAGAGCAGGGACAATGATGTTAAATGCACTGAAACTGAGGGCAAGTACCTCATTGATAAAGGTACGAGAGCAGGAAAGCTCCAGTAATGGAAAAAGATCACAGAAGTAATGGTTTAATATATCAGCCTTACAGAACTGCACTCTTAGCAGGAAGACTGTGTGAGCTGTAGAACTAATTAAGCCCATACCATACACACCAGTTACCAACCAGGAACAGACTTGAGAGGACATAGTAACATTGTAAATCAATGGGTTACAGATGGCAGCATAGCGGTCGTAAGCCATTGCAGCCAACATGTGACATTCTGCAACAGCAAAAGTACAGAAGAAGTAGAACTGAGCTATGCATTCTGGGTAGGAGATGACATACTTTATTATCAGGCTCACCAACATTTTGGGGGTAATGACAGTAGACTGACAGAAGTCAATGAAAGATACACTGGTAAGGAAGTAGTACATGCGTGTGTGCAACTGAGGACTAAATAGAATCAAGATGACCATGCTCAGGTTTCCCAGAGCTGTAGCCACATAGATTCCTAGAAAGATGAGGAACAGGGGCAGCTGCAGCTCTGTCTTCTCTATTAGTCCAATGAGAATGAACTGAATGACTGTGGAATGATTTCTTTCAGCCATTTTCTTCTAAGAATTTATGGAAGAAGAAAATTCTATGCAGAACAAAAATTTTTGAGTATATATTTTTCTGTCACTCAATGAAGTATAAAACAGAATTCAAGTACTTTGTGGTATCTCCAATTCTATGAAAGCTTCTTTTCCATCTTAATAGTCAAAATCCTGAAAAAATGAGATATGCAGAGAATAAACCATAGATTTTCCCTACTTGTGACTGTCCTCATAGAATGACTGTTGCTAGCATCCATCTTCTACTACCCTGTAAATATTCTAATACCTTGGATTAAGTGTTCTAAGAACACCCCATGTTTTGTTTACAGTATTCTCACTTGTAGAAAATTCTTTATTTGTGTAAAGTTAAAACATTATCTTCAACAGATCCATCACCAACAAAACAGTTAATGGTGAAGGAATGAAAGACTTTATATTTAGAAAAATTATTAATTAATAACAATATTGACTATCTGTTCATTGTAGTTCTATATAATTCTTAAATTTTAGCTAGGTTGATCAGACCGAAATGAAATTAAAAGGCATCAAATTAGAAAACAAGAATGAAAACGTATCTCCTTATAAATAAATATAAATAAGTATATAAAAATTCAGAATCAGTTAAATACTTAAATATACTTAACAATATATCACAGTGCTAGAAAGCAAAACTTACATAAAAACTCAGTGGTATTTTCATGCACTTGCCAGAAGCATTGAAAGTTCTATTTTTAGTAGCACAAAGTTCTAAATTACTTAGAAATAAGTCAAAGAAAATAACCTTTGTCTTGGATATAAAATTTCATAACATTGTTTGGAAGAATTAAAGTCTTACACTGATGGAAAAAGTATTATTCATGAGTCAAAAGAATCAAAAAAGGACAACGCTTACAAAGTGCATCTACAGACTCATTATGTTGTTCCCTATCAAAATCTGAGACTTGTTTTTTATGGATAATGATAAGATTATCTTGAGATTTATGTAAAATCAAATAACCAAATGAAACTTGAAAGAAAAAATAAAATTTGAGGTCTCATTTGACCTTATTGAAAACTTTCCATATAACAATAATCAAGACAGTGTTTTATTGTCACATGTATGAACAAAAAGTTCAAGGAACCAGAACTTTGTATTCTATATAAACTTGTATGTGTGCTGAAATAAAAAATTCTAAGGCCTTCATGACAGTTCAGTTGGGAAATTATTTTTAGGGAATGATGCTGTGAAAATCAGATCGCTATATCAAACATCATTAAATTGGAAACTTTATCACTCTATTCATAAAAATTAATATAAAAGAAACAAAACTGAAGATGAGAGCTAATAGTCTAATAATATTAGAAAACCACAGAGCTAAAACCATTTCCTTATATTGATGAAGTTTTTTTCATCAATACCAAAACCAGGAGCTACCATAGACAAAAGTGGGAAAATGGGGAGCATCAGATGTAAAATTTGTGTGCTTTGTAGGGCACAAGCACATATTGTCAAGATTATGCAGAATGAGATCAGTATTTTCAAGTAGTATGTTCAAGAAGAGTAACTCATGTTACAAATTAAATGATAAACAACTCAATTAAAAAAACATCAAAGACTGGTTGGACGTATGTCTCAGCATGAGAACATACTGATCTTGCAAAGGACTGGAGTTCAGTTACTGTTATGCAGTCAGGCAGCTGACAACTATCTGTATTTCCATTTCCAGGGTATCTACTGATGTATTCTAGACCCCTTGGGCAACTACACGCATGTGTAAATACCAATCTCCTACTTACCTTCCAATAGATAGATGATTAAAAATAAGACAATTAAAATGTATCTTCAAAGTATCAGAGTAAATATTTCATTATTAGATGGTCATAATGCCCAAAAAGTACCTGAAAATATGGACCCAATTATTTGTTGCTGAGTAAATTCATATCAAAAATTCCAACGAAATAACAACTAAAATTTCTCAGGATGTTTATAATTTTTAAAATTATAT